TTAATGCTATGACTGTCCTTTTTCTCTTCGTCGTTGTTATGGCCGCGGGAAACTATGGGTATTGTTGCGGAGCTGCTCCAACCATCTCTCCGCCGCAAGTGCTCCAAAAGGAGACACGTGGGGTTCAATTCTGGATCGGGTCGATGCCTACTTTAAACCGTAAATCCGAAACTTAAACTCTACTGCCTAAAACCCGAAACTCCCAAGCCGTAAAGACGAGGATGGGATGGCGGTGTCATTGTGATTCAGAGCAGGGTTTTTGGGCCCTTCTTCTTCTTCGTGAGGCTATGGGTCCGATGCGAACTCGCCTCTTGCACAGATGAATTCAAATGAGGAGGTTTGCGGCAGTATTCAGGCACGCGTATTGCACCCTGGCACAGCAATCTGCCAAGTGGGGAGGGATTTAACCAGCGCACCTCGTTTCGCGAGTGCTAAAAACTGTCCCTGCGCTCGCATAAATGACTCAGGGTAACACCGCGGTGCAAGCCCGACAAGCTGTACATGCAGGTGCGCATCACAGCACAGAATCGAAGGAAACAACGAAGCCAGACCAGTCAAGCTTACCCTCATAGCTGATGTTGAACGCCTGCTAGTTTTTCCCGAGTACCTTACCATCCATCCCCCCACCACTCATCTCACGCCCAGCCATGCACGGCACACTCTGCAAGCAGCGCATGGTGGCTCGGATGCAGCAGTCCACCTGGTTGCAACCCCCCGGGATCGAAGCAGAGATTGCCCCAAGCCGAGTCCGACGAGCCCGTCTCGATACATGCAGCCTTGGGCTCGCCTGTCCCAGACCAAGTCCGTGCATCCACGGCGGTACCACCAGCCGCCACGAAGGCACCCAGCAAGCGGGCTGCCGTACAGCCTCCGTGTCACAGGGATTTAGCGGCTGCCATGGGCGTCAACCTCGAACGTGTCATGCATGCCCTTCTTGCAGCCGGATTTACAGGTAGGCACCCCGCTGCACTTGTTCAAAAGTTGCCAGTAAGCGTCTCTGCGCAACTCATCCGCACACGTAAGCTCGATGTCAACTGTCACATGGTTGGGCACATGCGTACTCACGCCAGGTCGCGCTACGCCAAACGCCATAACAGCATCATCTCCGCCGCTGGCCATTTTTTCCGAAGGCAGTTGCCCATCAGGCAGAATTCCGTTTTCGAGACAGAAGAGCTCCCAACAAGTTTTGTCGCCGTCACTTGCCCCACGCACATCCGGTAGATCACTGAAAAGCCATTCTCCGCGTCTCGTGCACGGTAGTACACGAGCAGTGCCATCGCAACGGTGTTTCCACACCCCTACAAAGACGTCACGAAGTGTAGCCAATCTATCCGGTTTCAACTGCTCCAAATGACGACCCACAACGACGTCATCGACTACCTCGATTGCCAGCTCCTTGATTTCAGATCTCCGGGCAACCAGATTGGCAGCAGTGCGCATTTCCAGCTCCTTTCGCAGTGCCCGCAAAGAAACGGCACCATGAGACAGCAAACGAGGCACTGAGTGGCATACATGTCCCTTGAGGACTGCCCTAGTAAGTAGGCATGCTTTGGCCATCCAAGTCGATCGGGGCATTCACGAGGCTCATGACGTTCCGCTTGCCCAGCGGGCACACCGACACGGAACTGGGGCTCCAGCAATGTGCCTGCTCTCCTAGCTACGGGCGCTCGATCCGAAACCCTTTCTGGACCAATTATATTATAATATTTGCAAAAAAAGGAAGTGCCAAGATAGCATAGGTAGTTATCAAGGCCCCTATGGTCAGGCACTTTCGAAACCAACTATCTTGAAGCCATGATCGCCGCCTCGTCAGGGTTTTTGGAAGCGCTAGGGTCGGACCAAACCCCCCCGAGCTTTTCTTCTCAACCCCTACACCCCCTAAACTGTCTGCCCCTCAAGCTCACACCTAAACCTTAGACCCGAAACGCTGAACCCTTAAGCCGCTTTAGTCTCCTCTTCCACAGGCACTGGCAGACTGCAGCGCAGTGGCCGCTCTGACAGTGTTTGGGGTTTTGTGGACCAGATTCTGGGGAATAGTATACGAGTTGGGGTTTGGGGTTTAGTTCAGGAGTCGGGTACATGGTGAGCTCCGACGCAACGTTGACGAGCTGCCACGTAAGATTGGAAGTGAAGTTCCTGTTGCAAAGCCGCTGGCTTAGGTTGGGGGATACGGGTTGAATAGGCCAGTACCGGCCCAGTGTCAAAGTGGCAAAGGAGTCAAGGATGGCAGCAAAGGCGAGGCCCACTATCCCGGAGCCCCCCTTAGTGATGCCCTGTGGCATTGAGGCTTTACGCTTTAGAGTTTAGACTTTAGGGTTTAGGGTTTAGTTAGGCTTTAGGGTTTAGGGTCAAGGTTGTGTTTGACCTATGGGTTTGTGCCCCAACACCAATTATTCGCTCGGCCAGGAACTGCTGAGGAATGAATTCAATCCAATACGATGCTATACTTTTTTTTGCAACTATATTGTACTCTAGTATGCTATGTAATGCTTTATTGCACTATATACTATGCTTTTGACTATGGTTTTTCGATACTATACTATATTCCTCCATATTCCGCTATACTATTTTGCAGTATATTATGCTATAATGTACTATGTTATACCATGATACTATGTCATTTTGTACTATGTTAGAAGGGTTTTAGACTCTGTTATCATAAGCTTCACACGCAAATGTCGCAGTCCATCCAGGCATCGTCCGTATATGTAGATTTTGGTGGCAAAGGCCCAGGGCCTGAAAGACAAGGGCGGCAAGGGCAAAGCCGTCGTCCTGCCCATCGGGAAAGCAGCTGCCCGCCGGAAAGGGCCACGAAGGCAGAGTGCCAGTGGCCGACAATATCCCTAATCACCTCGTTGGAAAGGGCCCTCCAGGCGAGTCTCATCCTGCTTTTTTGCGGCATATGAAGACGGAGAAGGGAGGAATATGGTTGGAAGCCGGGGAGGATGAGTCTTTGGTTGAGGTTGTGCTGGAAGAGGAGCCCGTGCAGAATCCGATGGACGATGAGTGGGTTGATGTTGTGGTGGAGTTGACTGGCATCTACCGAAGAACCACACAAATCCTTGGCAATTCGAAGGCTTTTAGACTTTACGCAGCAAGTACTATAGGGACCTCAAGAGGATCATGGGACTTAGTTAGTAATAGTAGGGTTATAACAAAGGTAACTATAAATTATATATATATATATATATCTACTTATAACCCCATTTAAGGTACTTATAACCCTACGTGTACTTACAGTACTAAGTCCCCTGATCCTCCAAGTAACATGCCCCGAGTCAAGGTGACAATGCGTGTGACGGCGCAGGGCGAGCAGTTTCGAGATGTGTGCCTTGCCGAGGAATACTGCTTTTATGTGCCATGAGCCATTTTTTGCGTCGTTTCAGAGGTAGTATAGGGGCTGAAAGAATTGCCTTTGCTACTTTGGGGTTCCTTATTATGACAGTAGTATAGTGGGCCCCAAAACCCTATTCTAATTGTTTAGGCCCCTATAGTAATTGTCTACCTCGGACATGGGGCTGCCTGTGCACAGTGCCTTCTAGCGCTCCTGTTGCAAGGAAGTGTTAGGTGAACAGGGCCGCAACCCTAAATCCCTACACCTTGAAATTCCCGGAAGCCCCGCTGATACCTAAGCCCCGAACCCACGAAACTTCGCGGTATGGAAACACACCATGGCTAAACAATCGACTCAGCTGCTCAGCTGCGACCCCAAGGTTTATTCGGGACCCTCCAAAGAGGGATGCACCCGGAATACACAACGAGGAGGACGGAAGACCGGATGACACCTCGGATTTCGATACGTCCTTCCCCAAAACCCCTAAGCCCCAAAGCCATAAACCCCACAAGCCCTGCCAGAAAGCCATCCTAGAGGGATCTAAGAAAACTTTGGGTTAAGAAGGGCCCGCGAAGTGATATCAGAACGCATGGATTCAGTTTTCATGGGTGGTTCGGGGTAGTGGAGGGGCCTCAAAAGTTACCCGTACTATTTGGGGGGTTCCTTGTTGTATTTTTTGTATAGTGGGCCCCAAAAGCCTACTAATTTTTGAGGCCCCTAAATTAGGGAGGTATGGTCAGAAGTACCGCAGCTGGGGCAGCATTGCGCGGCGGCAGGATGATTGGGTAGAAAGCCGGCAAGGTAGCTGTGGATGCAATTAGTTTGATACACCTACACAGGGATAAGCAAGATAATATGAGTTGCCGCAGAAAGACCAAACAGTTACCCCGTGGTAGATCCCGATTATTGCCGAGACTCCTCCGAAACCATGTGGGTAGTTCTCTAAATTACTAAGAGGGGCCCTCAATTTAGAGAGAACGACCCATGTGCACTACACCCAAAATATTTCTTCACAAATCCTGAGCGCGTTTTGGGGGGTTTTGGCGCGACCATGACCGGATTTGGGTTTAGGGCTTTGGGTTCAGGGCTTTGGGTTTAGGGCTTTGGGTTCAGGGCTTTGGGTTTAGGGTTTGGGGAACTTCCGAGAGCCCAGCAGGAGCTCTTCAACCGCATCACGGCCCTCGGATACGACGTGGTCTGAGGGGAAGAGGGCGGTTCAACGAGGCCGTGCACAGCTTGAGGTGCGGATCTTCGCAGCTCTTGACCAAATACCTTGTCCGTTGTGCTCCCACGCTCGCCAATGCGTCGCAGATTTTCTCAGCCATCGGAGGTTTTGGCTGACCTGCACCTGCCACCCTCCACCCTGGCTGTAGGCCTAGGCCACTGGTTGTTCCAAGTGTAGGTGCGTGCAGCCGCTTAGATCACAGGCAATGGACGGTGACAGAGGGCTCATGAAGGCTGATGTCGGAACAGATACTTCTAGAACAGTGTCGCTGATGCCCCGATGTCCCAAACCCTAACCTCCCAAAAACTCAAAAGTCCTTCAAAGACCACGCGGTACGAATTCAGAGGTCACACACTTCCCTCAGGGGCCTCGTCACGTTGCGAGGGTAACTCGCTGAAATGTAGGCATCGAATCTCTCACCCAGCTGAGACTGGCCGAGCCATGTCGCCGAGCTCGGAGACAGTGCTAGGCAGGCCAACCGCCACTTCCGAGGTAGCGTGCGACTTCCAGGACCCAATCCCCTGCGAATGTGCAAATGCTTCAAACGAAGATGTAAACGACGGAGGCCAACAGCTGGCACCCTTCTACATTGCATTTATCAACCAAATGGAGGCGACACGGCCAGAGATACTGCGGGGTGTTCGAGTTGGGAAGCTGCTGCGGTACTTGCCGTCGACCTGGCTACTAGGAGGTGACTTCGACACTTTGCACTCGCTCAGCCAGCAGACACCGCACTTTGACCAGTTTTGGTCACACAGCTGGCGGGGGGGCCGGTGGTCCAAGTACATCAACATACTTTACCTCCATAATTGCGTGCCGGCAACTTAGGGGCACTTAGAAGAAATAATTTTGAATTTTTGGTTATTATAATCCCTAAGGAACAGCTAAAATTACAATTTTTGCTAGGGGTTCTAAGTTCAGTATAGGCAACCGTTGCGGGATCCTTGAGTGCGAGTGTAGTCTGCGGCCTCGTCTCGGCCGGACTTCTGGTTGGGAGATGGTGCCCTGGCTTTGGAGTAGCATACTTGAATACCTTTTTTGGGTACCTGTTCCTTAAAGGAACCACCCTAAACCCTAAACCCATTATGAAATAAAAGTCTATGCATTTTTTCCCTGGTTACTTCGAAGTCCAGGTGCCTGTTCTCCGGGCTTGTTGCCTTTTGCATCGTCCTGCTGCTCTGGCGTCCACGGAAGCTGGTGTTTATAGACATCGCATGCATTCCTCAAGCTGACCAAGACAGAAAGGGAGAGGCCATTCTGAGCATGGGTGCATTTTTGAAGCAGTCGGCTTCCATGCTGGTTCTCTGGGATCCATCGTGGGTGACAAGACTGCGACTTGGATTCTGCAAAGTCTCGCTAGCAGGAGTGATGTTGTGCCGAAAGAGATTTCTGTTTCGTACACCAGACCTTCGTGTCCTGGAGAACCAAGGTGGTGCATCTTCGAAATCGCCGCTTTTCTGCACAGCCGCGGTCCCGGTTGCAAGGCAGATCTAGAGATTATTCCTCCCTTGTTGGGGCCAGTGCTGCTGGGCTGCGAGATGCTGCTCTGCGTAACAGCCCTGGCATACGGATACATTGAATCCTCCTTGGCCTCTTCGGAAGAGCCAGTTTTGGTGGGAGAAGAATCTCTGTTGCTCCTTGCTGTTCTTGGCCCGCTTTTCAGCTTCGTGACACACGCTCTTCGAGGCTATGCCCGCAGCGTGGAGACGCTTCAAGAGCAGCTCCGGGAGTTCAAAGTAGAGCATGCGAGAAGCGCTTGCTGCGATCAGGGCCATGAAGACAAGTCGCTATGCGACCGCGAAGTCATTCTTGAATGCATCACTGCATGGTACAGCTCACTGGACAACTTTGAGTCGCAAGTTCAATCCGAAGTGCGGATGGCCATCATTGATCAGCTTGCATACAAAGCTATCTCCTATCAACGCATCGTGCTTCTTTCAACTCCGTATGTCTGGATTCGTCTTGAGTATGCAGCTAACCGGCCTAGTGATCCCAGCGGACAGATAGCCGATCTGGCCCAGACGTTCACCTACTTGCTTGCGATCTTTCCTCTGCTAGACAAACTCTGCTTCAGATTGTGTTACCGCTGGCGAGCACGATGTCGTGGGCAGTACTCGGACTTCTTGCTATCGAATGCCATCGTTGTCGTGAACCTCTTGGTTTACATCGCTTGCTACACGATCCAGATCTACGTCTTCCGTCAACCCGAGCGGGAACTTCTCCTGACTCTGATCTCGATGTTTTCATGGTGGACTGTCGCAGCTATCCTGTGGCGAATCGCTTGAGCACGACACCGACCTTTCAGTAGCCTTGAACCTAGTAAGCTGACATCATAAGAACTCGCCATCTTCAACGACGTAAATCCCACTATTAACCATCAGCCGGAACCCCAACCTGACCTGCAAGGCCAACCTACCGCTCGCGGGCTTTATTTTCTCAAGCCAAAAGTCTTCACCGAGGGTTGACGACATTTGCGAGATCCGGATGACCGTGTAATTTTAGGGGAAACATATGGAACGATTGTCCACATTATAGTCTTATAGTCCAAAATATTTTAACTGTAGTCTTCTAGTCACCAAGACCTGATTCTGATCATAAAAGTTCCGTTGTTTTACCGAAAGGCTTGGCGCATAACCCGTGGTCCTTGAATGAGGTGCCACCAGGACGACTTAGGTTTTAGAGCTTAGGGTTTAGGCGGCCAGGATCAACTCCGAAGCGGTCAAGTGAGCTCCCTAGAAAGGAGAACTGGGTGTTACCACGCACACTCAGACAACGTCCGAGCGACGTTCTGTTCATGATCATGGTCGTCGCAATGTCAGTAGTCCTATCCATCGTAACCTGTGTTGTTGCGCCTACTCCCCTGTTTAGATTATGTTGTTCTCGTTTTAACATAAAGGGGCCTTAATAGTTACCTATACTATTTTGTGGCTTCCGTACTACACTTATAGTATAATGGCCTCCAAACCCCCTTCTGATTATTAAGGCCCCTTTATTGCTGCCATCGAAATTCCCTGGTCCATCCATCCAGAGGCTGGCTAGGCAGGGTAAGTCATCGATCGCGCATCCTCAGAGAGAGAGCAAAGATCGTTGTGCGGCGACTTGGGTTATAGGCTTAGGGTTTAGGGTTTAGGGGTTCAGGGTTAAGGGTTTAGGTCGATGTGCAGCCTCAGGATTCAATGTAGTGAGGCGATGGAGGATCTGCCGTCCATGCGATCTGTCCTAACTTGCTGGACCCTAAACGCTGAGCCCTCAATCCAGAAGAGAAACTAAACAAAATGGACTCTTGAACCCTCAGGCGGAAACGCTTCACAGGACAAGCAGCTGTAGAGTGCAAATCTACCTGGCCCGCAGCAAACGCAGTCTGCACAAGCATGCTTCCATCCATTTGCAAAAGTCGGTGGCCTAACGACAGCTTGGTGTCGTTGCCTTGTAATCTTGGTTGGTCGCACGACCCTTGTGGTGAGCAAGCAGCAGCCCCAACGACCGCGAGCCCTTCTACACAACCCGGTTAGGAGGGGATTATGGAAAGCATTTGGTGTCATACATGCATATTGCTAGAGAAGTACCTGCATGCATACGTATTCATGTATGTATTTATGAAAGCATGTACGCCTGCATGCATGTAAGTATGTAACTATGTCTGCCCGTCTGTCTGTCTATCTTGCGGTCTGTATGTATGTTTGCCTGTTGCAGTGTTGCCAAGCTCCTCCTCCCCCCGATGGTATAACATCCCTGCCGCCCTCCATGGCCACAGCCTCGCAGTGGGGGCGTGGGAGGGAGTGGGAGTACCATGTGTACATGTTTGCGCTCTTCGCATCCGAAACAGTGGCTCTTTGGTAACATTTCTCTCCGCAGGCCTTCTTTCCATGTCCTATTCTACTTCAAACTGCAGCCTCATGTCCAAGCCCTAAACCCAAACCCGAAAAATCAAACCGTAAAACCTGAGTCCCAAACCCTCAACCCGAAGCCTTCAACGACCCGCACCCCATGTCCGTGCAGCAACGAGCCGACGCCCCAGCGCCGGCAACCTTACCCACTAAACCCTAAAGCCAAAGCCCTAAACCAGGATACTCTTAGTATCCAACTTCCCTCAACCCTGAACTAGACTCCGGGTTAAGACAGCCATGGGTGTCGGTATGCCAAGCTTCGCAGAATGCCTTGAGCTTGGCTGGGAGGTATGTTTAGGCGCTTCATGGTTCAATGTAGGAACCTGACAAAGAAACTCTGGGCCTATAACCCCAAAATAGTAGGGTTCAAATAAAGAACCGTAACAAAGGCCCAAGGCTTCTTAATCAGGTTCCCACATTAGGCTGCAGAGTATCGGCTTTCGGCTCTTTGGTTTAAGAAAGGCTCTAAACCCTAGACCCTCAGCTCTAAACTGCTTTTCTCGGTGTGGAGTTTCAGAGTCGGACATGCTGGGTGGTGGGTGTCGTCATAGGTTATAGCTGGGGTTATAAGTTCCCCAAGTGGGGTTATCCTAAGTATAACCTACTTATACTTATAACCTTATTTACTAAGTACCATGAACCTTGAAGTAGATCCTACGGCACCAAAACAGGGAAGAGGGTGAAGGTCTCGGGTGTTTCGCTTCTTTTGGTAGGCTCTTAGGCAGCGTCGGGGTTTTGTATCTGTAGACCATGCACCCACTGTTCTTTTCCAGAAGTTTTCGACCATGTGTGCCCCGTCACATTGTTTCCGATTCGCTTGGTCGAATTTATGCCGGGGCTTGACTAGCAGAAACGGTAACGGGTTATTCGGTTATTCCCTACAGTCTGCATATTGGGTTTCTATGCCTTTCGATTTCCGTACAAGGACTTACACAATTGGAACCAGGTTTTCGGGTTACATGTTTTAAATCCCGGAGGGCTTATGGGCCATATGGGTACAGGCGCAGGCGCAAGTTGGGACACAAGTGGGTTTGGGAAATAGCGCATACAGGGGCTAGGGATTACTAGGAGCATCATAGGACTTAGTAAGTAGGGTTATAAGTACTTGAATTGGGGATATAAGTAGATATAACTATAGTGACCTTACTTTCAACCCTACTTGCTAAGCCCCGTGGTCCTCTAAGTAGGGTGTGTCTTTGGATTTGGGTTCAAGGGCAAGGCAGTGTTGGCTTTCAGGGTGCAGGCATTGTACCCTGCTTTGAACTTGTAATGTAAGCTGAGCTCAATCTCAATTGCACTTCCTCACGGTTGAGATTCCAACCCTCAAGCTCGAAGCTTGAAGCCGGAAAGCCTTACTTGCAGCTTGCACTCCGGAAAGCAAATCAGACACCTCAAACCCAAAGCCCCTAAACCCTAAGCCCTAGACCCTCCAATCGGACATGTCGTCCGAGGCTCCGCATAAACGTGCCTGTGTCGGCCTCGGTGACGGGTCGCTTGGGCTGGTTGATGGACAAAATCCTGCATGACCCTAAGGACTCTAAACTATGGGAACTATGGTATATTCCTTACAATGGGTGATGCAGGATTTTTCCCATCAGCAGTAAGACATTGCGTGGAGGTTTTGGGGCACGGAGTCAAGTCTCACGCCCGGAATCGAAATGCATTTATCGCCCGGCCAACGAACCATAACGCAAGAAACCAGAGGCTGTGTAAAGAGAAGGGTGTGTGTTTCTGCAGACTCCTTTGGCTCAGGAATGCTCCCCATTCAGAACAGCGGTTCTGAAGATGGGAAGCTACACTACGGTAAACCCTAAACCCTAACCCCTAAACCCTAAACCCTAAACCCCAAACCCCTAAACACTAAAAAAAGGAGTCGCTGGCTTCCTCGTCCAGTGGTGGGATCTGAGTCTCGAGACAATCTAGCCCGTCTTGCACAGTGGCTTACCTTTGTAGGGAATGGAGGAATAGGGGTACAATTATAACTATTACTACCAATCTTCCATTCCGGTAAGGATCCCTTTAAAGGAACCCTAAACCCCTATAGATCCCTTTAAAGGAGCCCTATTCCTTACTAACCAAAGGTAAGGTGGAGGATGCTGCGATTGCCATCCAGGGTGCACAGTCTCGAGTCCAGGCTACAGGCTCTCGAGCTGTCTAGGGTTCAGGCTTTGGGGCTTAGGGATCTTAGTATTACTATTATTATTACTATTATTATTACTATTACTATTACTATTATTATTACTATTACTATTACTATTACTATTGTTGAGGAAGTCCCTCTCTAAACCTGCATAGCCCTGCCCTAGAGCCCCAAAACCCTAAACCTGCTGAGCCCCATAATGAGTTGAGCCCTTAGTCTTTGCGTCGCCGAAGCCGCCCCCAAAAACTTAAACCCCAAAGCCTCAACCCGTTTTTTGTTCCTAATCTCTAAGCTCCTAAAAATCAAGTCCCGTTAACCCTCAAGCCTGAATCCCTACACCTTGCATCCCAAACCCTAGCCTAGTAGTAGAGTAGGTAACCTTTAACCTTTTCTGGGTAGTAGAGCCCCTATATAATCCCTATACAACCAAAAAGGTTAACCTTTAGTTCCCCATGATACCCGACAAATAGGCTAGACTTTGAGCCTTTGCACCCAGGCGACGCAGGCTCTTCCTCCGATCAGTCCCCTTGAGGCAACGCCGCAGGAAGTTGCCGGCACTTCCAGGGCTCATAGTCATGTATATATATGTATATATATATATATGTATATATAAATATAGATATAAATATAAATATTTGTGTATACACATATAAATTGTATTGTACCGTGTTGTATTGCAATGCATTGCATTGCATTGATGTATGTATGTATCTTCACAGCCGCCCGCGCCGTCGACAGTGCCGTCCGAGTTTGGCTGAACCGGCCCTAAAACCTAAACCCTAAACCGGGCTTGGGGGCCTCTCACCGAGAGAGTTTGGGGTTTCGTTCTGTTTTTGCTACCTCAGGCAGGCGAGCATCATGAGCATTCTTGGGCAATGTACATAGGGGCCTAAGCAATAACCAATGCTATTTTGGGGGAATCCGCATTTTTCTACAGTATAATGGGCCCAAAAGAGTTCTTCTAATCCTTAAGGCTCCTATGGTATGCTGGCGGGGCGGACACTGCGATAAAGCGCGACATGGGCAGTGGCCGAGACAACTCAATAGGGTTTAGGGTGTAGGGTTTAGGATTTAGGGATAATCCGGTTGGTTACTGGATGGCTTTTCCCGCGCGATGTGAACCAGCATCACGAGCAACCGACCTCATCCCAGCACAAAAAGCCACAAACTCCAGCGGCCCGAAATCACTGGGTTTAGGGTTAGCCCGAAGCCTTAAACCCTAAACCCTTCATGAGGCCCCAAAACTCTTTCAACCCTGTCGCGTGCTTCCCAACTGTCGTGCAAAGCACCGGCATTAAGAATACCCTAAACCCTAAACCCTAAGCCCCTATATGAACCCCTAAATCCTAATAAACCCTAAACCCTAAACCCCTAAATACCCTATACCCTACACCCTAAACCCGAGTTACTGGGTCCCAGGGCGCCCTGAGACCGGAAAGCACAAAGTTGAGAGACCCTGAGCCGAAACTGGATCGAAAGATTTCCTCAAAGGGTTTAGGGTTTAGGGTTTAGGGTTTAGGGTTTAGGGTTTAGGGTTTAGGGTTTAGGGTGAAGGTAGGTGGGGTAATCCCCACATTGGCGTTTTGATATAAGGGATCCCTAATCCTACCTACCTTCAGCCCACCTTTTTGAGGCCTCCAAACCCCAAGACATCAGACGTCCTTTCGCACTTGAGTGCTGAGTTCGTCGAAGCTGGGAAACCCGTAAATCTCACTTCCTGAGCTGCTGTGAGGTGACGACGGATGGCGAAGGCTGCCAACTTGGGGGGGGGGGGGTTCAGGGAATTGGGTTTAGGGGCTCTTGCAGTTTTGGCGTGAGAGTTTAGTTTAGGTTTTGGGGTTGCTTTCAGTGCAGGGCTCAGGGAAGGCCAGTGTAGGAACCTGATAAAGAAACCTTGGGCCTTTATGAGGGCTCCTTAAATGAATCCTACCATTTTGGGGTTATAGGCTCAGGGTTTCTTAATCAGGTTCCTACATTAGACCGCCGCCCCAATCCCTCTGATTCCGAAACCCTTTCTAGAGTCCATACACCCAGGTTCTCCCGAGCACTGCTGGAGATACCGGGATTTCGGGCCCAAGGTTTGGGCTTTCGGCCCTGTAGGGTCAAGGGATGTCGGGAGTTGTGGATTTTTCCTTTGGTCGGAAACCCTCCAAATTGCAAGCTCAACCCCTGCACTGAAATCCCAAATCCCCAAAAACCCCAACCCCAAACCCTGAACCCTAGACCCCTGAAACCCCGAAACCCAGACCCCTGAAACCCTAAGCCCTAAGCCCTAGACCCCCAAACGCCCCAAAGGCTGGACGACGACCGAGCGTCGGCCGGTGCTTGGACGGCGAAAGTCGCCACCGCGCCGTGCACAGCAGGGTGCGCAAGAGAAGCCATGTGAGAGACAGGTTGAGAGTCTGAAGCTTGGGTGGGTTTGTCGTTTTTAGTGCTTCGAGCTTCGCGATCTTCGCTGTCGTAGTTGTTTTAGTCAGCATCGTCGGGGTAGTCGTGGTTTGTGGTCGTGGTGCTCGTCGTCGTCGTCGTAGTAGTAGTACCAGTATATAGTAGTGGTGGTGCTGGTGGTGGTGGTGGTAGTAGTGGTGGTGGTGGTGGTGGTGGTAGTAGTAGTAGTAGTAGTGGTAGTCGTGGTGGTGGTGGTGGTGGCGGAGGTGGTGGTGTTGTTGTTGGTGGTGGTAGCAGCAGCAGTAGTGCTTGTTGTCGTCGTTGCCGTTGTCGTTGTCATTGTCGCTGTCGCTGTCGTCGTCGTGGTGGTGGTCATCGTCGTCGTAGTAGTAGTAGTAGCAGTAGTGGTAGTGGTAGTGGTAGTGGTAGTGGTAGTGGTAGTGGTAAGCGCCACGAGCGGCTCAAAACTGTAGGGTGGTCTCATGGAAGTTCACTGCTGCACCTCTTCCTGTTGCTGGCGTCTTAAAGCAGCAGCTATAGACATCCTTCTGGAAACTCATTTCTGGGACTCTCTTCATCATCCGAGTCGACATTACGTGCTGGCACTTTTGCATTCATTCTGGTGCTCGGCTAGCGAAGCTGATATAGTGCTGGACGTTGCAGAACTCTTTCCGCGCGACTGTGAGCTTGCCTTTCGAGCTTACTGCGTCAGGAATCGGCCAGACTTGGTCCAATCGTTTTCTTCGGATGGGTGTTCAGATACAGATTTTCCAGGGTCTTGGAACGTGTCCTGCAGTGGAGCATGATGAGTTTACGCAACGCAGTGCCACCCACGTGGAGCATGCGCATGTACGGCCGAAGAACAAGCTTCTTGGCGGTGCGCGCTCGTCCCGGTCCCAACTCCGGGGAGAGACCCGATGTGTGGGCAGTCAAGGTGAAGATGTGTCTCTCGGCGCGAGGGTTGACATGCCTCCCCTTGGGGTGTCTGGAGCTACCTTGGCCTCGGCCTCGGTGGCAAACGAGAGGGGATTTAAGGCCGGCTCTATCAATGTGGTTGACATTCATTCATCGAGAATCAAGAAGAGGTCATTGAAGCGTGCCATTGCCCGAGCGGAGCGCCAGGGCACCTCGAACTACAAAGGAAAGCAGCTGTTTAGCGCCTCCTTGTCGTCTGGAGCAGGTATGCGGCCAACTAGGGAAACCCTGAAGCAGAGAGTCGGAGTATTGTCATGGAACTGTGGGGGTCTGTCGGAGCTCTTATTCGCAGAGATCAAGCTATATCTCAGACAGCATCCGGAAGTTCATATTCTGCTTCTCCAAGAAACGCATCGATCGAATCTTCAAGAGTGGAGCGAAGACGGTTGGACGTTTGTGGGCAGCCCGTGTGCCAAACCTCGCTCTGGTGGCGTTATGCTCGGGATCAGGGAGGACTTCTGCTCGCGGGACACACTGCGATGGCAAGAGTTGGTTCCGGGGCGGCTTCTTCAGGCGCGGTGTTTTGCGCAAGGGCAACATCTCGACATCTTGGGCGTGTATCAGCATACTCTTCCCTTTGGTTCTGCTGAGCTTGCAAGGGTTCTTCAGTTGCGTTGGGGTCTGTGGGATAAACTGGACACGGCATTGCGCTCCTTGCCTACGCGATCCTCTATCATTGTTGCGGGAGATCTGAATTCTGGTCTGGAGAAGTCTCCACCGTGTACGGGTGGTGGTGTGCTGCCGCACAATCAAACTGCTGAAGTTGTTTCTGAGCGTAAGTGGCTCACGGGGTTACTTCAGAAGCATCAGTTATGTGCCCTTAACACTTGGGGCCGCAAATCCCAGAGCCATACCTTTTTCCACAGTAAGGGCAAATCGCAGATTGATTTCATTTTGGTTCGGTCAGTTCTTGCTGACTCGGCTGCCAAGCGTTGTGTGCCCAAAGTTGCTCCGATTGCGGGCTGGAGATCATCTGGTCACCTGCTCCTACAGGCAATGATTCCTCTGCGGTGGACTCCATGGCGGTTGAGTCGTGGGGCTCGTGGCTGCAGTGAACCCTTGCACAGGGAGTTGCCTGCCATCGCTGATTTGAGGCGCGACATTCAAGCCCAGAATCCAGTATCAGTACCTTCAGTTCAGAAGCCGGGTCTACGAGGGCTTGATGGTGAAATTGTTCACTTCTGGGAGGCTAGGAAACAGCTAGCGGCACAGCGCGTCCGCACCATGAGGGATGCCTTTCACAGACTTCGGCTCTTTCTTCAGCTCCGACGAAGGCATCGGGAGCTTCGCGCTCTGGCGCGCGCTCGAAGGCGGCAGCAGCTCCTTGACATTCTTGAACTTGCAGAGTCCGCTGCGAGAAAGGGGGATAGTAAGGGGCTTTTTCAGTGTGTTCGGTGGTTGTCTCCTCGCAAAGCTAGACGCTCTATTCGGCTGCGTGATGCGGATGGAAACGTCATGCATCCCAGGGCGGAGTGCAAGATGCTAGCGGTATATGCCGCGGAGTTATTCAAGGCTCGGAGTCCAGAGCACATATGTTCGGTCCAGTTGCAGCCAATTGCACCACAGATCTTCAGACCGGAAGCTTGGCAAGCTGCACTCCTTTCTATGCGATCCGGCAAGGCGGTGCCTAATGGAGAGCCCCAGGTGCAGGCCTGGAAGAATGGTTGTGCAGAGGCGGCCCACCGGTTGTCAGAGATTGCACAGGCTTCACTGTGTGGTGATCAGCCGCACATTCCATCAGATTGGTCATGGGTGCAGCTAGCGTGGCTGGCCAAGGCCGGCAAAACCCCTAGTAGTCCGGAGAACCTGCGAAGTATCGGCTTAATGCCCGTGGACGCGAAGGCTTTTCTCATTGTCCTGCGGAACGAGATCTCTTCGGTCATACTTTCCAGTATGCGGTCCACGCCTCAATATGCTTATCGCCCGGGTACCTCTACTGCTGACCCGCTTCTTCGTGCTACACTCCATTGCAGTGCTGTTCGTACCTTGCTTAAACAGCATCAGCATGACCACACTTCCAAACTACTTGGTGAAGCGACTGAGCCTTTAATTGGAGGGCTTATGATAAGCTTGGATTTGCGGAAGGCCTTTGACGCGGTGCCCCACTCGGAGATCTTGGCTAGCTTGCTCGAGGCGGGTGTCGGCGAGGCCATCGCTGTCCTTCTGGTTGGTGTGCATGCCCAAACCAGGTGCTTTGTTCAGCATGGTGGGGCCTCGGAGGCAGTACGCATGACTCGAGGGCTGAGGCAGGGGTGTCCCATTGCCCCCATTATTTTTGCTGCCTGGACTGCGAGAATGCATAGAAGGCTTGGCGAGGCTCTCCGGGAAAAAGGCCGGCGGCTGCGTGATGATCGCTACAGTCTTTTCGCGGATGATCTTCATGCACACTGGCTTTTGCGAGATGTTGCAGGCTTTCGATTGGCGCTGGACGAGATCAGGCTGCTGATCGACACTCTGGGATCGCTAGGCATGTCGATCAACTTCCAGAAGAGCTTGATTGTGTTGAGGCTTCGTGGTAGTGCGGTTGCCAGGGCATGCCGGTCCATTTTGGTATGGCGTGACGGAGGTCAGCATGTGCGCATTAGGTCTGGTTCTCAGGATTACTGGATTCCTACAGCAGCCACTATGCCATACTTGGGCGCGGTGCTGTCCTACGATAGCTTTGAGCAACAGACTTTCGCTGCTCGAGCACAGGTCGCGCAGCAGAGATTCCAGGAGCTTGGTCGGGTTCTGCGCACGCGCGGAGCGCTCACGCAGCGTCAGCGTGCTCGCCTTTATCAGGCAACAGTGTGGCCGTGTCTTGCATACTCCTTGGTCTTTGTGGGCGTGACGATGCCTGTCTATAAGGGGTGCGTCTCCGTCCTGGCAGGTCACTACCGGAAGATTCTTCGCATCTACGAGGAGGGGGTGAGCAATGTGCAGGTGCTGACTCGAGCTGAGTTTACTCCAGCGGTGGCGCTTCGTGATCAGCTTGCTCGGAAGGTGGACTCCATTCGTGCCGATTGTGGTCGCAGTGCTGAGCTCAAGGCCCCAGAGTTAGCACGTGCCGTTGAGGTATTGGACCAATTGGATCGTGTTCTGGAGGTGCCCCTGGTGGGGGTGGGCTCTTCCTTGGAGCCATTGGTCGTGGCCCTGAGCAGTGCGTGCCCGGTGTGTGGGGTGTACTTTGACTCTGAAGCCAGCGTGCAGATGCATATCATGCACCGGCATCCCGAGATCAACACTCAGGCCAAATTATCTTTTCGCAAAGATGTTCACTCCCTATTTGGATTGCCATTTTGTCGATTTTGTCAGGGTCGGCTTTTTGATTGGCGATCGCTGGAGCGTCACATCACAACAGGCACTTGCTTTAGGGTGAAGTCCTTCTTGGCTGAGGGTTTGACAGAAGACCAAATGCTGGAGCGCATTCGCGAGGAGGAAATCGTCTCTCCTCCTGTACCACCAGCTGGCGCTCAAGGGCAGGAGACGGTCACATGCCAGATTGCGGATGCTCTCAGGGTTGCCCCCGCACAGCTTGGCGCCGGAGGCTCTCGACTTCGTGTGTTGGCTACTCGCTGTGCACTTTGCCGACAGTGGGTCAAGGAGGCGGGAAAAATCAAGGCACATTGGCGGCAGTCTCATCCTGAGCAGTACAGGAAAGTGAAAGTGGTGGCAACGGCGGAGGCTCGAAGTCTGTCTGCGGTCTTTGTTGTGCCGTGTCGATTCTGTGGTAGTCGGGCCAAAAATGAATTGGATCATAGTGGCAAATGCTCTGCTTTGTTCCAGCTTCTGGCAGTGCGGCAGCTCCGTGGTCTGGGGATGGTCGACTCGATTTCCATCAAAGGCCCCGCAGCAAAACAATGGCAGAGCACTCCGCAGTATCAGTTGTTCGAGGTTGGCTCCACCCCGATCGGTCGGGCTTTTGGTCCGGGTCTCAAGGCTGCCTCTTCCTCGGCATCGACTATGCGGCCACCGAAAGTTGCGGTAGCCACTTCTACATTGCAGGTGCCATCTGGAGTCGTGGTGGGCCCCTCTCCGGTCCTGGAGTCCGGCTGGCTGCTTAGGCTTCGGCTAAGCAACGGTGGCAACCTCTGCTTCATGAATGCTGTGATTCACGCTTTGCTCTTTGCCATGCAGGGTGCCGACGGGCTGGGAAATGCCATTCAGGGCTTCTATCGGCTGGCGGAGCAGGCGGTCTCTCGCAATCAAGCGCTGGCTCTTAGTGGACAACTCATAGTTCGCTCCGTTCTGAGAAGGTGGTCCTTTGATGGCAGGCAACACGATGCTTCTGAGTTTGCCTCAGTTCTTCTTCGCGGATTGGGATTCAGCTTGGCTCGGTGGGAAGCCCGATATCAGCGTTTCGACCAAGTTCGAACTCCTCAGCGTGGCGTTCATCCCATTGCGATCCCCATTGGTCTTGTGGCAAGTCCCCTACAGGATCTCATCAGCCAGTGGTTTGCACAGGAGTTTCGCCATGCCTTGATTGAGGTTCCCAGCTTGCTGATTCTTCAAATTGAGCGGTGTGGTGATGGTCATAAAGTGCATACGCCGGTTGCTCCCTCGGACTGTGTACAAGTGCCGGTGTTCACCGAAGGAGTAGCCGTACGGTGGCATGACTTCCAGGTCGCGGCTCTGATCGAACATCAGGGTGAAACCCTGGACTGTGGTCACTATCGCGCGGTGCTCAGAATGGACTCCAGCTGGTGGCATGCTGATGATAGCTCTGCTTCGGTGCGGGTTGAGTTCACGCTGGATCTGCAGCGGCGAGTGTACCTTGCGCTACTCGTCCCGGCTCGAGCAGACGTGGAGTCTGACGCGGGCCCGATCGAACTGATTGACGAGCCTGCCTGCTAGCAGGCGCCGGCCTCTTCGCACAATGGCCGATGCAGACATGCTCGGCAATGATGAAGAATGGGGCTTTTATCAGCAGTATTGGCCCAAGGGAGCCAATGCGAGCGTGGATCAGGCTCCTGGCGCAAACAGTGCGCCGTCCGGTGCTCCGGAAGATGTAGCTGTGGAGCGTGAAGCCAAAGCGGCACGGACAGCGGCCAATGAGGCCAAGGGTGGCGCTGATGGGCGTGGGGCTCCGAGTCGTGGTGGCGGTAGCGGCAAGGGAGCGGCGCCGTTCTCCGGGTACAAGCGCCGTGGAGGCTCAGATTGGCAGAGAGGACCTGGTGGCTATGCTCCGCGTTGGGGTAGTCATGGAGGGGGTGGTGGCGGTGGTGGTGGCGGTGGTGGTGATGGCTGGAGCTCCCGTGAACATGGCGGTGATGAACGTGCGTGGACAGCAGCCCCATCGTTTGAGCTTCGGGGCTTGCGGCACACGGTGGAGCTCATGCAGCGCCTACTTGTGCGGCATGAGGATGCCATTAATCTGATGAAGGTGGAATCTTCGTTTGTCATGCACATGAAGTTGAATGTTCCGTCGTCCGTGGTCCCCATGCTGTATGCGGCGGCGAACTCTTGGAGGCAGATCAAACAAAAAGAGCCAAACAAGCTTGATCGACCGATGAGAGCGGCGTTGCTTTACTGCTTGTTCAAGGAGTTCAAGACACGTCTTGAGGAGGTGGTGGATAAGGAGGAAACCTTGGCTAAGATGGAGAAACTTGGCTGGCTGTCGCGGACCCCATCGCTTACATGGTCATTTCTTCGTTGGGATGCAGCGAACAATAAGCACCAGGTGGACACTACAAAGCCACCGCTCTCGCAGTCTGAGGTGCTGGCACACGTGGATGCCATTGCTAAGCTTTGCCCTCGTGAGTTTGCAGTTGCTCGCTTTCATCCCACACGTCCCATGGCTGAAGAAATGCGGGGAGACTCTCTTGTCTTCTTGGTGCAGACAGGGCAACATGGAGAAGGGCCGGCGGAGCTTCGTGATTCGCTTCGCCTGCTTTGTCATAGCTCCGCCTTTCATTTGCTCGCGATGCAGCTTAAAGTGGATCGCTTTGCGCGCTCAGCATTGGCCGTGGCCGTCTCGGAGGCCTGATATGGTCAGCGATCGCTAGCTCACGATCTTGCTTTGATTTTGTGCCGTGCCAGCTACAAGCTGTGGCGCGTGCTGATCATGGAGGTTGGCTGTGCCGCCCTCGTCATTGTGCAGGGAGCGTCAATGCGGCGGCCTAGCAGTCCTGCTGGAAAAGAATGGCGCTGGACGTGGTATGCACCTCGCTTCTTGATTCGGGGTTCAGTGGCTGCGCTCTCAAGTGCGTTGCTGAGACTCTTGTGCCTGAGTGATGTGCGACTGGCAGGGCTAGTATGTGCATCGGTTGAGCTACATGACCAGGCTGGGCTCTAGCTCTAGGTCTGACTTTGCCTGGTACCCTGTACTGACACTACCTCAGCGGCAGTGCTACGATCCCTTGATGGTCAAGCGTCGGCGCCTACTTTGTGCCCAGGGCTCTGAGGGGGTAGAGGTTATGTCTCTCCTGGACGATATGGCTGAAGAGGATTGTGCTGATCAGCTTGAGGTGAAGCCATCTGGTGGGGTGCCGTCGATACAGCCTGCCTTGGAACATGTCCACAATGGTGACTACTTTGCAGGGTCTAGGCCGATCATGGCGTTCGAGCTCGATCTCAAGTTCGAGTTCGCCTCACAGCACATCTACTTACTTCGAGGTGCTGATGTTGCTGATCTTCCGCCTCCTGACTCTCGTGCCGACGCCCTTGCTCACTCGTTCCTACTACATGGTCAGGCTCGCTGGTGCCAACTACAGCGACTTGTTTCTCTACTTCCGCGGGACAAAAACATGCGTTGGGAGATCAATGAGGACATGTGCTCGACCACTCAGGATCCCAAGCGCTTCACGGTGGGTGCCTGGATCAGGGGGCCCATGTCAGGTCTAACTGTATGGATGTCGCGCTTTCCATGGGTTACGAGGGCACTCACGGCCATTGTCAGGACCTGGAACGACGAGCATGAGTTCACCACAATAACGCTTACCATGAACACAGCGGCCCCGCCTCACAAGGATATGCACAACCTGGAATCCAGCCTAAATCTTGCCCTACCGTGTTCGGTGTATGAGGGTGGCGAGCTCTTCCTTGGCGACAACGCGGGCATGATGAGGCTTTCCAATGCAGGTCCACGTGGGCACATCCTGTCCGCTCGGGAGGCCATCTCTTTCCCTCCTCGCGAGCTTCATGCAACGCTTCCGTGGAGTGGTGATCGCTTGCTACTCCTGGCCTATCACATCGACTCGCCTCAGCGCTTGTGCAATGAGGATCGCCGCGCTTTGGTTAAGTCGGGCTTCATGTCATCGTGGATTACCAGCTCGACGATCTGAGGACTCCGACAGGGGCATCAAAGCAGCGATGGGGTGCAGCAAAAATGATTCTTCTTGCCTGTTGCGGCGCCTCCTTGAGCAGTGCTTTTGGTGCTCTGCTATACCGACTGAGGTCATGCGATCTTTCGGGCAGCGGATGCTCCGTGAAAAACTTGAATCCTCCTGAGTCTCCCAGGCGATGAGGGCTAGCCGATTCTGTTTGTATAGTGGCGATGGCTGATGGCTGATTGTATGTCAGGCCTGCTTCTTCTGATAGCTGATTCTCGTTTTCGCAGTTCCTGGTCAAGGATGGCCAGCGATCAATCACATGTGTCGGTTGCTGGGACCTCGGTCCGAACCTTGAGCATGCTTGGCTCCGTGGAGCGATGCTCATTCTTTTATCGGGAGTGTCAAAGACATTGCTGTCTGTCAGCCGGGCAATTTGCCCGCCCAACGGCCCGCTAGGCAGACTTGGACTCTGTCGCGATCGAGAGAGAGAGAGAGAGTGGTAGTGGTAGTGGTAGTAGTAGTAGTAGTAGTAGTAGTAGTAGTAGTAGTGGTGGCGGTGGTGGTGGTGGTGGTGGTAGTAGTAGCCGCAGGAGGAGGAGGAAAACAGAAATAAGTTGGCAGTGGTTGTAGTGCTTTAGTCAGTCAAAGTTCAAAGCAGTAAGAGGCAGCTGGATGGGACACTTCAGTGACAGCTGCAGGTTTTAAGGGGCTGATGCTGATTGTGAGGCCATCAGCATCTCAAGCCACAGCGCCATCTCCTTTCTGCTCCTCATCATCCTGGTCGTCTCAATCCTCTTGGTCCTGCTCGTCCTGGCTTTCTTCTCTTCAGTCATCACCATGTCCATTCGGGGGTTTCCGGAAATAGGGCTACCTTGTTTTTGGGTCCTTATAAAATACGGATCCTATTTTTGAGGGTACTATATTAGGGTCCCCTATTTTCGGAAACTCTCATTCCCCTCATCATCGTAGAGATGAAGCACCATCGAGCCGGAGGATCTCCCCGCCGGCGGTCGGAGGAAAAGTTCTCCCACTGGGCCCCTTGGCACAAAGGAGCAGTGGATGATTCGATGATATGAGAGGGACCCTAATCTAGTACCCCCCGAATAGCAGGATCCTTATTATGGGCCGGGTAGAGAGAACGATGAACAGATGTACTCGGACACGACTTTCTAGGTCTAGGGACCGGCCTGGTTGCAGTGAGGCTTGTATGTAGCTTTACTCAGTACTGGGAGGGTTGAGGGATCGCGTTCTCAGGTATGCAAAGATCATGAAATTGCAGCGTAGCCCTTTGCATCTACGATCAGTGACAGGAGTCAATTTTCTCTGAAGCCTGTATGCAAAAACGACGCTGTGAAAGCGCAAGATGCTTCAGACAAGAGAGTCGTCGTGAGCTTCAGGGCTTGAAGGTCACGGCTTACACTCTCTAGTGCAAAGCGCGACGGTCGAAGGCTCAATCTTTCACATCGAGCTTCTGCAACCCTACCTACCTTAACCTTCGCGTCCCTCCCTCACCTTAGGGGTACTTAGAAATCCTTAAATCATTTTCAATTTTTCTGTTTATTATAATCCCTGAGAAACAGCTAAAATCATAATTTTGCTAGGGTTCTAAGTTCAGTTTAGTCACCCCAGAGCCTTAGTCCCCAAGAGGCCCGCGGCACGGCGCCGCTGCCCGCTTGGGCCCCAGCACGTCTTCGGACTCTCCCCGCCTGGTGGGGACACAGCTTCAACTTAAAGGATCATGGGACTTAGTAACTACAGGGTTATAAGTAAGGTAACCATACTTATAGCTACTTATAACCCCAAATAAGGTACTTCTAACCCTACTTCCTAAGTCCCATGATCCTCCAAGAAGGGTTCCTTTCAGGGTGCTGTAAGGGTCCTAGAAGGGTTCCTAATTCTGGATTAGGGTTTAGGGTTGTGTTTAGGGTTAACCATACCTGAACCTCGGAAGCCCAAAAGCCTAAACCACTACGTCGGGGGTTTAGAGGGGTTAGGGCTCTGTGAAAGCCGAAGCAGTAAACTTCCAAAACATGATTTCGACTTTCGGCACCTAGCAGACAAGACTGGCAAGATCAGGAACCGTAGAAAGGTATACGCAAGGTCGATCGCACGAGTCTACAGACATGTGGTCGGAAGTAGTTAAGGCTTGCGAGCTTGTAAGACTGTATCATGCTCTAGCATGGTGCAATGTCCTTTATTTCAATTCTGTCATCTTCACGCAAACCCTCAACCCCAGACCCTGAACCGGAAACCCTAAACCCGATTGGACATTGAGCCAGTCGCAACTGGTTCACACAGGGCTCCTCTCGAAAGTCGGCGTCCGGTGAGTCTGACCAACGCAAAACTCCAGAACCTGAAGCGTAGCAGCCTTAGAAGCCCCAGATCCCTAAACCCTAAACCCTAAACCCTAAACCCTAAAATCCTGAACTTTCGACTCTTCTCTTAACCCTGAGTTTTGAGCCCTCGATCCCAAACCCTGAGCCCTAAGCCTGGTGCCCTAGAGCTTACAGCTCCTGCACTGGACAGATGACTTCATCTGACTCATCAGGTGCCCTCGCAGAAAGCCGGAGTGCTCCCAGAGCC